CCTACAAAGAAAATTTGAATTGAAAAACTATTAAATACTATACCTGTGATCTACTAATTTAGATTTCATTTAAAGGAGAATAGGAGAGGAAGTTAGGGATTTCACTACTCCCCTTTTAATTATATAGATTTATTTCCAACATAGACCTGAAAATATCATTTTGACTAGTCTCCCTCTTGATCTCAGCTCCACTATGAAGCTAGAAGAGAGACAGCCACACAACAACAATGTCAGGGAGAACCAAATGACAGAACACTCAGAATCCCTTCCGTAACATGCACAACCATTGCCTATACAAAGACAATCACAAGTCACATGATTTCACATTAGTATTATTAACATTTTATTACGAAATAAGCCTATGAAAGATATGTAAAGGCACAGTGAGTGGTACTGTATCTATTTTTTAAATATATTTGGTCCCAACTACACAATGCTAAGTAACTTAAGAGATTTCAACCAGCACATGCCAAACAACTTACTAATAAGAACCAAAGGATCAGAGAAAATTTGTGATGATATTTAGTATTCAGTTGAGAACTCAACAGACAGGAAGGAATTCTGGGCTTACACTCAATCTTTGGATTCTGTGGAGGAAAATGACTTTTTGTGTTTTCATACACAAATAGAAGCAAAGACTCAGATTACGCTTCCCCTCCATCATTGACAGTAACTCCAACCTGCAAATCTAGCTGTGACTCACCTTGCACTATAAGGTGAACCCGGGAAGTTTTAGGGTGGTTGTCTGTCTGCACAGAGCAGGTATACGGGCCCTCGTCATACACATCCACGTTTTGAATCATGATGCTGTACTGGGTTGGTGTATTGACCAAGATGATCACACGAGGGTCTATGGACCACTTGTCATTCCCAGCATAGAGTATGGTGCTGCGATTTAGCCACGCCACCCGGGTGACTCGGTCATCTATGGTACACCTGCAGGGTGTTAGGGGGGAGAAAGGGAGAGGAAGAGTGGGCATGGGGAAGAGAGGGAGGGAGAAAGGAAGAAAGAAGGGGAGAGGATGGGAGAAAGAAAGTGTTGAGAGATCATATTAAATATATAGTGGTTATATTTCAAGGAATAAATGAAACAACCTAACCCAGTGCTAAAATAAAACAATCAATTATTGATGGAACTTCCTAAATATAGGGCAATAGTGGCCTGAATCACCCTGAAGAACCAATGATACATTTCTATTTGATTTAGGAACATATTACGTGAGTATCTTTGCTGTGTATTTGCTTTCCATCTTATTTTTCCCCCCAGGCTTATATAAAAATTAGTTTATATTTCTTGAGTACATTTAACACCTTGTGGGAGAAGTGACCCAGGAGCATAGGGGAGAGAAAGTGGATCAGTATTTCAAATAGGTAACAGATAAACCACAAAGCAAATACTTAAGTTGTTGTTAGTAAAAAACTGAACATATTTATCTGCAAACCTTCCTGGTATTGATAAACTCTGTGTACCCCTAAGCTGCCCAATGCCTGCAAATCACAATTTATAACATAGAATGGGAAAATTCACCTTAGAAAGCCAACAATTTTGGAGGAAGCCATGGCTATCTCTTAAAATTTTGAGAGAGGGAAGAAGAAAATGGTCATGCAAGTTTCCTCCTCCCTCCTGTACTCCTCACCCTAGCTCCTGAGAGGAAAAAATGTGGCTTATGTCACACCGAGGTTACCATCAAGGTGAAAAGCTTACCTCTACTGTCATACTTCTCACTCTTACTAATAATTGGAGGCAAGTGGAATTTGCTTTTTGGTGTATGTGACCTGCCAGATACCAGGTTTAATACAGAAATAAATATGCTTGTTGATTAGGAAGAAAAGTTGCATATGTGCCCCAGGAACATCTGTAAATGGAAAATCTTTAAAAAGGGAATGCTTTATTCATGTGAGTTTCAATGAAGGGGACAGTTAAAGGTTTAAAGTAGTGCCCACCTACTACTCAATGCTCTAGTCACAACCTAAGTTGGGGTATCTGGGCAAATAGGAAGATGCAAGTATAGCCCTGCTGCTTCTCCAAGGTGTGCTAGCAGAGAAGGTAGGAGGTGTGCCTTCTGGGGACAAGGCATGTGAATCCAGTGCCTCCAGGTGAGGAGACAGGGGAAGAATACTGCCATTCCTCACCACATCTGATCTCATTTCAACAGACAGCAGAGATCCTTCTGATAGGGAGCAGGAGATGAGAAGAATGCCAAAGACACTGGCAGTGGAGGAGAGAGCACACACATTTTGGGCATGTTATTTCCACTTGGAAAAGTGACCAGCCTGACATAGGCCCAAAAGGTCAGGGGAACAGAATGATACTGGAACACCAAAATGACAGCTTTTGTTGAAAGGGAATATCATGTAGTCTATCTAGCAAGATACTCTCCCTGCTTGGCAAGAAGAGTAAAATGATACTAGCTTCCAATTATGTCTTTCAATGAGGTCTTTTATGTACAGGTCTACCTATCATTTAGCAAGTGCCGGCAGCCATGAGGTAGGTGTGGGGTGATAATTAGATGCTTTAGATGCTTTCAAATTATAGCAGAAAGAGATTCTTCTCTTCTAAATTGTCATTATTTGCTTACTGTTTTTTTCAAACTATGAAAGTAAAATAAACATGTTTAAACATGTGAACAAGTATAATACAAAGATGCATAAAGGCCAAGCTAATCATTGCATCCCCACCCAGCTCTTAGTTCCCTGAGGTCATTGTTTCAGTAACAGCCTATTACTTCTCTTTCCACATCTTACTCCTCCTCACAGACATATATTTATGTATATGAAGTTTGTATTGATTTGTTTTTACCTGAAATAGAACCATACTCTAATTTTCCTATGAAGCTTTTTTTTATTATTATTTTAAACTTGACCATGGGCATCCCTGGACATTAGTAGTTAAAGATCTCATTTTGTAATTGTTTCTAGCTAAGTCTAATATCAGTGAGATGAGTTTCTGGGACCCGAGTGCACTTACCATAAGATACTAATAGTTCAAGTATC